GAGAGAGAGAGAGAGAGAGAGAGAGAGAGAGAGAGAGAGAGAGAGAGAAAGAGAGAGAGAGAGAGAAAAAAAAAAAATAATAATAATAATAAAAATCATGTTCGCTATACACAACTCCAAGTGTGTCTTTGTGTGGGGTCACGACAAGTGCGTTATTCACAATGTGCATGGGACGTTCGACACATTTTCCAGTAGGTGTCGTCCTACTAATAGATAGGAGCATTCTATCGTAAGTCCACTATAGGGGGATGCTCATATCAACCCTTTAGTGGGCTGAAGCGGAATTTTTTGGAGGCGAAAAAAAAAAGAAGTGTGTGTGTGTGTGTACACGTGTATGTGAGAGTGAGTGTGTGTGTGTGTACACGTGTACACGTGTGTGTGTGCGTGTGTGTGTGTGTGTGTACACGTGTGTTTGTGTGTGTGTGTGTGTGTGTGTGTGTGTGTTTTCTCTGTGTGTGTGTCTGTGGGTGGGTGGGTGTGTGTGTGTTTACTTCTTACCAACGGGGAACGGCCTCGAGATGTTATCGTCGAGCTGTTCGGACTGATGGAAAAATTCGTTGGTTTGGTTAGTACCTGAAGTTAATTACGAAAGGCTCTAAGAAGCAGAGCCTGTGCTGCAGTAGATTCTGCACTTCACTTGTCATGTGGACATTCTTTTTTTTTGTTTTTTTTTTTCAAGTTGTCCTGTGGACATTCGTGGACATTCGTTTTATTGTCTTGCGAATAATATTCCACAGGACAAGACTCACAAGAGCACGCAGGAAAAGCCTTAGGACGTTGTCAAATGGCATTGAGGGGATATCGATCGATCGGTACGTGTAGCACAACCTACCGGTAGTACCCAAGATGCTTGCTTGCTCGAGTTCCACGATACTTGTTTTTTTTTATCGCCTCGGAGATGAACCTAGGCCAAAGGCCGACTAGAAGCGTTCAGTTTCCTCGAACGGCCGAATCTGGCCATGTTTGAGGAGGATGCTCCAAACGCACATCTCCACAAAGACGTCCAGATTCGGACGATGAGGAAACTTAACGCCGCTAGTGGGACTCGCCCCCTGGGCCTTGGTTATTGCTTTGATGGGAGTAGTAGGTGCGCCGCAGACTTTTTTTTTTGTGCGCCGCAGACTTGTCTTACCACCCAATGAATGAGTAGACATAGGGCCTCGCTGCACTACTCTCGACATGCACAAACGACAAAAATATTGGCGGTGTATCTTTCCATATTCTAGTGGAAGATTCACTCTCTTTTTGGGCATTTGGAGAGTAGTGCAGCGAGGCCCAGAAGTTTTATGAACGCAACAAGGAGGAGGGGCTCGCCTGGCTGCCGTTTGTCCCTCCCTCCGACAGAACGCACCGCCATAATTACGAATGTATACAACCGGTATTTCTGGTAAGATACAGTTAATAATACTTAATATAACGAGGTTTTCCTTACTAAGCTTAGGGGGGACAACGGTAGCTACGGCAGTTCTTCTCGATAATGCCGACCTGTCCTTCGGGACATCCGCTAAAATTGGAACGATACACAGAGAAAACAAAACAAAAAAAAAAAGCCGACCTCCTCGTTAGGAAAATAACGGTGAAGATGGGCCAACCCC